AAAATGTTAAAAATTTTTTTTTTTGTTGATTTGAGAATTTCATACAATGTATTTTGATCATGTTCAGAATCCTGTCTCCTCCCCATCCCCCATCCCCCTTATTACTTGTATGTCCTTTTCTTTGTTACTATGTTTTCATTTTTTTTTAAAGACCTAATCTAGTCTAAGTCTAGCCCAATCTAAATGTTCTTGGGTGTGGGTCTATCTCTTCTAATCTGGTCAAACAGGCAGCATACCAGCATGAAAAGCTGTCTCTCCCTCTCTCAGCATCTATCAGTTGCCAATAGATCCTCAGCTAGAGCAGGGTGTTCCTGCCCATGTCCTGCCCATGTCCCCATCCGTGCTGGCCCCTGTCTGGCTTGGATTGAAATCTCATTTTCTTTTTTTTTTTTTAAATATATATATATATATAATCATTTAATGGTATCATTTTATTTCTATAGCTTCACAAAATGCCACACTGATTGTGTGTGTGGCTAGAACAACTATTCTTTTTAAAGTGAAAGATATAATCCTTGCTATTCTACATTTTTTATTTGAAAGACAGGCTGACAGTATGATGTGTGCTAGTTTTGGAAAGACGTGATCCTTGAGAAAGGTTAGTGATGGTGAAGCACTTTGTAATGAGAGTGACTTAATTTTAATCTCAGTTCCTTGTATCTTTCTAATGAATTTTAATCTCAGAAGGTAGGCAGTATTTTTTAGTAAATAAATACTTAACCTGATAATTGAGCACTGAATTATCTAACAACCCCACCCTCCTTTTTCAGAATCCTACAAGGGTCACTTTGGTCCCATTCACTGTGTGAGATTTAGTCCTGATGGTGAACTCTATGCCAGTGGCTCTGAAGATGGGACACTGAGATTGTGGCAGACTGTTGTAGGAAAAACCTATGGCCTCTGGAAATGTGTGCTTCCTGGTAAGAAGCTGTGTTCAGTTACCAAATTATAGTGCATGAGGTTATATTGTTTCCGAATTCTGTTTCACTGTTCCTGTAGAGTTTGGATTTTATAATGGCTTAAGCAAGAGAAGCCATGATTCTAAATTGATCACTGTGTTCTTTATATAGTGAATAGAATGAAGTTAATCCACAATTTATTATAAAAAGGATGGAAAGCTGGCTCAGTGGTTAAGAGCACACACACATAAACATAAAATAAATCTTAAAATTGTGAGTAGGCAGTATGAAGAATTTACAAGTTACGGTCCAGTTTCCCCAGAGTGTTGCTTATTCCTTACCACTGAAGAAGGCATGTTTTTAGTTTTAAAACACCTCGTAGTAGTACGGAAAGTAATTTTTAAAGATACTTTAGCATCACACGTACTTTTTAAAGTGGAATTTCTCCTGTTGTAGCCCATCACTTGGAATAGTCTTGTCTCAGTTTGCTTGCTCCAGAGACATTGCTCACAGGGTGGTTCTCAATGTTCTTTTCACAGAAGAGGACAGTGGTGAACTGGCAAAACCAAAGATGGGCTTTCCAGAAACAACGGAAGAGGAGCTAGGTAAATGCAAATGAAGCTACTTTTATAGAGTCCTGTGGAGTGTAAAATTGGAAGTGAATGTGAGTTTCGGTCATTGGCAAAAGTATTTCTCCTCCTCAGCCGAATTCTGGGCTGATCCACAGTGTGGACAGAACTACTGTGGTTACTCTCAACAGACCTAGCAAGTAGATGCTATTGTAATGAATTATCTAAACAGTTCATAGCAGTGAATTGAATTTAGGAAAGCTTCCTAGAAAAGTGAGATTTAAGTCAATGGAAACTTGGGAATGAGCAGGGGTGTTGGGTGAGGTTCTGAGGGGGGGGGAGTTGATAAGGACAGGGTGGAAGAGTCCTGTCTGCAGAAAGCAGAAAAGCTATGCCAGAGCAGAGAAGCAAAAAGAAACATGACATGGAGGGAGCAAAGGATTTCACTGTTTGCTCCGAGAGCAAGGGCAGAAGACACTGGAGAAGCCAGACCATCGGGCCTTCATGTGCTGTATTAGAGCTTTGAGAGTTTACAGACTGAGATTGAGAAACCTTTGGATTCTAGGTTGAGGAATAAATAGAAATTGAGACGATTGCCCTGGCTATAGTGTGGAGAAGGAATTAGGGCCAGTGTGTTCTAGATTACCCATGTGGTGATGGATAAGGGAATGAATGGCAAGCAGAGCAGGAGGAGGAGCTAGCATTGGCTTCAGTGGCAGAACTGACAGGAGTTGCTAATTTCTTTGCATTGGAAGATGGAGGAAAACCTTAGACTGCTATTTTGAGATTGGTGACTTGTTAGGGTTAAGAATGGAGGAGCTTAACCAATATGTCTAGAGCTTTCCCTGGTTTGAGGGGATGGGAGGTGTGGGTGGTGCTTTGGTTTTACTGATAGGCACTTTAAAAAAAAAAAACAACAGTGTTTGATGGTTACTGTTTTTATTTGCATAGCCTTGTATTCTAGAATTTAGATACCAGAGGAAAGGGCAAGATTTTACAAAAACATGATTTTACTACTTAATGTAATTGTTTATTGGATAGTTTAGTCAGTGGAAACATCCTGAAAGGAGAAGGGCTTTTATTCAGCTATGGGGTGAAAGGACTTACAGGTAAATGCGTATGAAGCCTTCTCGTGTGTTTTGGTGACCAAGTCCAGTCATCGCTGCCATGTGCAGTGGGTTTCTGGTTTATCCTTCTCACCGTAGTGCACTTTCAAAAGCCTCCCTGTTCGTCACACAGAAATGTAGATTGACTTCTCTATTAACTTGACTGTGATTTTTCTCTCTTAATTTCAGAAGAAATTGCTTCAGAGAATTCAGATTCCATCTATTCTTCAACTCCTGAAGTTAAGGCCTGAGCATCGGGCTTATGCCACAGATTCTATATAATTTATGAACTAAAGGAGCGAGCAGAGAAAAGCATTGGCCTTTCAGAGATCCTCTCTGCCTGCAGCAGACAGGGCAGTAGATAATGGGGAGTATGAATTAGCTCCACTGCGAGAACAACTAACTTGGTGTTAACCTATAAGTGAAAAAAACTTGGTGTGTCAGAAGAAGAACCAGGCGGAGTTAGCACTGATAGTGCCATGGCCCCTTGTCTTTAATGAATATGTGCAGCCAGTGTACAATTCCATTATTGCATTTAATTTCTTATAGCTCTTTTATGTTATGGAGAAGAAAAATATATTGGCCTATTTTTCTGACTTTTCCCTTAAAGCAGAATGGCTTTTTTCTCTTTGCTTTTAGTTGTGAAGAAGAGGAGTACATGAGAGAGTAACTGGCTTGGTTTCTCTTCCCTTGTAGAATACTTCTGAACATCTAATTTTTTCAGTTATCAAAATAAAATGCCTCCAAAACAAAAGTTTTGTTTCTTTGGGAAATTCTGATACATTTGAACATTAAAAATGGAAATAGCCAAAATGTTTTCCTATGTCTTACACAGCCATAGCAAAAACCTTTGCATACAGAATCTATACTAAATATTTCCTAATTTTGAAATTGAATTATGTAAACTTGAAATTTTCATGGCTCTTGCTGGATATGCATTTACCTTTCCTTGCAAATTTCATAGAAATGCTTGAGCTGCCTTTTTAAATGACGCATGCTAGTTATAAAGAAAAACAATTAGAGATAGCAGGAAAGTCACTTAAAATCCCAATTTTTCCATAAACTATTAAAATTATGTAACTAATACACAGTACATCTGTGTGTTTTGTACAAATAGATCTACATGATTTTTTGCGCATGGGTTAACTATTAACTTGCAGTATTTAAGCTGTATCAAACTTTATTTTACACCATTCTTTTAAGTTGGGCTCATACTCAAAAAGCCATGTTATCAGCTTTCTTATAAATTAGATCAGATGAGTTTAGACTATTAATTTATTTCCTTTCTAAAATATGGAGGGAGCCGGGTGTGGTAGGGCTCGCCTTTAATCCCAGCAGAGGCAGAGGCAGGTGGATTTTTGTTTGTTTGTACCAGGCCAGCTGGGGCTACAGGGAGACCCTGTCTCAAAAAGACCAAAAAAATAAAATATGGAGGGAATATTAAACTAGTAATTTGGAAATACTTCAGATGAATACCATTTAATTTGCTTTCTGAATTTGTCTTTTGAATGGCCTGTGATAACTTTGCCTTTTCTTCTGAAAAAACAACCAAAAAAAAATAAGTTAATTGTTGAGGATTTGTGACAACCAGAAGGAAGCCTTGCTGTGTTAGCCTTTGAGAGCCAGGGCACCTTGTCATAGGCAGAATCAGTTGAGTCACGGGTCATGGTATTTTTATGTCAGCTTTGTAACATGCCTAGATCTCCAATTTGTAGCAGAATTGTCAACGTATCAACAGTTACTCAGACTGGTAAGAGTATTGACTTACCCTAAATGAAATTGAGATTTACATGCACCCTTTTGGAATGAAGTTGCTTGGTGTTTATGAAATTAATAAACTAAGGATGTTTCTTCTTAGTTTTGTGTATTGGTTTCCTATTGTAGCAGATTTATAACTTGAAACACACATTTATTTTGTATTAATAGATCAAGGTGTCCTTAATTTAAAATATGTCTTAGTGGGCAGAAATCAAGGTGTTGCTAAAGCTGGATTCCTTTTGGAAATCTAGAGGAGAAACTTTCTCGACCCTTCTAGCTTCTGGAAGGGTTGTCCTTCAGTGCTTGGTCCGTCCTTCTGTCTTCAAAGTTAGGATGGTGTCCTCTACACTGACTGACTTGCTGCTCTTTTTCACTTAGTCATATGAGACTCTTCTGGATTGTCCAGTGCAAGTTTTTCCATTTCATGATTCTTAATATTTGCAAAGTTCGTTGTACATACAAGGTGACATTTCCAGGTTTGGAGGAGTAGGATGTAGGCATTTGGGGATGTTGACTAGTAAGCCTGCCAGACTTTGTAACGGAAGAACCCTACAGTAAAATCCAGCAAACCTATTAATTCACACTTGCCCAAGTCACATTGTCCTGCATGTTCCTTTTCTGCCTTGTTAAGCCTTGGGCAGTATTGAGGAATTGTCCACTTTGTTTTTGAAGTTACGAAGCTACATTCTGGGTTTTCTTTAGTCTTTACCTATAGTATTTTCCAGTTTCTCATTTTCTTCCTGATTGCAAATCTGGGTTGTCTTTTCTAGTTCTCTCCAGTGGAAAGAATTGAAGCCTTCATTGTTTCTGAAACCTTGAAGTTGTGTACATCCTGCCAGCTGTGGCATTCCCTGACTTGAGTCTGATCCCTGTATCTGGTCCATATGAAGTTCTGGGAGCTCTCCTGTCAGTGCTGGCCTCTACTACCACCTCTCTTACCACCCTAGGCCGAGTTGCCTGTTTCTTCCTTACACTGTTGGCAATGCCTTTCATTTCCTATTCTGCCTGTTGGTCCATGCTCACCAAGTGCTTGTTTACACCTTACATCAGCTCTCAAGTCCTTCTGATCCTTTCTCTTACCACTTTTTTTTTTTTTGGTTCATTTTATTTGGTCTTAGTCTGAGATTATCTTGCATAATTTCCATCTTCATCAGTATTATCCCTTTGCCCAGAAAGGTGGCTGATAAGTGCTCAATAGTTGAAACCAGTGACATGTTAGCTGCAGATCATACCAGACCAGATGATTTCTCAGCATAGCCCCCTGCTGCAGGCTATCATCTCCCCAGAAGTCAGATGTGGCTGATACCTCCATAGAAGCCCTGTCAGCTTTGTGCTGTCGAGGTCTGCCCCAGGTCAGGCACAGCTGGCAAAATGCAGTCTCCCCATCTCCACTTGCTCTTCGGTTTGCACCCCCAGCTTTCCTCCTAGGTTCCTGTTGTCCAGTCAGTCGTGGTAGCCCGAGTTATCATCTGACCGTAATTTGCCGCCTTTAGGAATCGTCTGTTGTAGTGCTACCCAAAGGTTCCTTCCAGGAAGCCAGGTCAGCTAATTTGTTTGAACATATTTTTCATGTCAGCAAGTTCACATTTTGTGTGTATGTTTTTGTGCACTTTTATGGTGATCAGAGGTCAACTTTAGCTGTCAGTGCTTGAGTCATCTACCTTATTTGTGTATGTGCACACAAGAACACTGGTGTGTGTGTCAGTCTAGACTGGAGGTCAATGGTGGGTGTCTTGTTTGCTCGCCACCTTTATTTTTTTAAATGGTTTCCTACTGAATCTCATACTCATTGATTGGGCTAGGATGGCTGCCTGGCCAGTGGGCTTTTTAAGGAGCCACCTGTCCCTTCCCTTCCCCCTAAGTTCTGGGGTACAGATACCCAGCAGTCTGATTTTATGTGGGTACTAGAAATGTGAACTCAGACCCTCAAGTTTATTCAGGAAGCACTTTGACTAAAACATCTCCCCAGCCTTCCACATTTTTGAGATGGTCTCTCATTGGCCTGGAGCTTGCCAAGGATAGGCTGACTGGCAGGTGAGCCCCAAGGACCCTTCTATTTCCCTCTCCAGCACTGGAATTACAACATCATGCCTGACTTTTTTTTTTTTTTTTTTTTTTTTTTCGGTCTTTTGTCTCCCTGTAGCTCCAGCTGTCCTGGAACTCACTATATAGACCAGGCTGGCCTTGAACTCACAGAGATCCGCCTGCCTCTGCCTCCTGAGTGCTGGGATTAAAGGCGTGCACCGCCGCGCCCAGCAATGCCTGACTCTTGTTTGAGTTCTGGAGGCAGAACCTTCAGGTTCTGATGTTGAGGGTAAGCACTTTTATCAACTAAGCTATCTCCATAGACTGCCACCCCAGTTCTTTTAATAGTTACAAAATAACTTTACCATTTCTATTAGCTGCTCAGATTCAGTGAAGTGTTGATTTAATGGCTCTTTTCCTTCTTTGAGATTAAGGTTGAGAGCAAACTGGCATTCTTCAGAAGCTGGCAATAAAAAATGAGTGAGAAGACATTCATGGTCCGTCTTGTCACAACAATATCCTAGACTAAGTAACTATGAAGAAAAGAAATTTGCCTGGCAACTTTTAGTCCCAACAATCAGAATTCAGGAGGCAGAGGTAGGCAGGTGAATCTCAGTTCCAGGCCAGCTGGCGCTACAGGGAGACCCTGTTTTTAAAACAGTTCTTTGCCACCTGTAGAATTACAGCATTTATTAAAGTCACATTAGTAATGAGGTAGATGTGCTTGTTTGTTTTTGCATAAGTCTTGATTAGATATTTGATACTAAGGGGAGTACAACAACTTGAGATTTCTTCAAAATGGATATTTTGTGAAGGGTATGGTGGTGCACCCGTTTAATTTGAGCACTTGGGAGGTAGAGGCAGATGGATCTCTGAGTTCCATGCTAGGTGGGGCTTCATGGTGGAATACTGTCTCAATGAATAAATAAAAATTGATATTTTGAAGGACTGGAGAGACAACTTAGTGGTTAAGAGCATGTACTCTTGCAGAGAACACTTTGATTCAAGTGAAGTACTTGGTCAAATGGGAAATAACTGATTTTATTTTAAAGTTCAGTATGAAAATAAATACTTATTTTAGGGATTTGTGTTGATACACATTTTATGAAAATACCTTCCACGAACCCAGTGATGTAGGTAATGTCAAGATAGTGGAAACCTAAGTTTCAGAAAGATGAAGTAATGCTTTGGATTCTTTCCTTGCTGCTGTGATAAAATACTCTGACCAAAGCCACCTCACCGGCAAAGCATTATGTTGCTCACAGTTCAGGTTCCAGTCATAGCAGGAAAGTCCCAGCAGCAGGGGCTGCTGAGAGCACTGAGATTAAAGGTAATCACCAGCACACCTGGCAACTTTTCCATTTTTATACAACCCAGGATCCACAGCCCAGGGAGTGGTGCTACCCACAGTGGGCAGGTCTTCCTGTCTCATTGTGTCTCTACGGGCACTTTTTCCTCCTAGGGCAGGGTCTCCTGCAGAGAATTGGCTGCGGAGAGTTAGCAGCGAAGGAAGGAGCTTTAGGGCCATTTTGGACAGAAATGGTGGTGTGGGGGAAAAATGGCCCTGTGTCTCACCTGCATGGATGTGAGAGGGTCATTTGCCAACCTGGGACGAGACTGTGGGCCCACGAGTCATGGGCGAAAGCTAACAGAGACCGTGGGCAGGGCGCAGAAGCAATATGGAACGGTAGGCCACTGAACCAAAGAGCGGCATGGGGCGCCTGGTGTTTGTTTGCCTTTGTAAGTTACTCTATTTCCCCTCCCCAGGATATAAACTAAAAAATTCAGGTAAAGATGTGTTACATGGTTTGTCTAATAGCGCCAGGAGCAAGGGACCCCAAGAAAACTCGGGCAACAAATTGGCGGGAGCTGGTAGGATGATGGCATTAGGAATGACAAACCTCAGGAGTTTGGAAAAGGAGCTAATAGCAGCACTGATACGGATCTTACAACGGATTATAAAATATGTAACTAAAAAGGAGCCGGCAACGCAGAAGCGTGGGCCACAGCTATGTTGTAAATGCGGGAAATAGCCCAGTTACAGGTATATGAAAATTTGTTAAAGGTTATAGAAAGGCTAGAAAAACTTACAGGCCTGGGACAGAAGCAGAGAACCCAGTGAGGGGGCGTGGCTACTTTGCATAATAAAAGATTTGCCCAAGGCCAAGGAAGTTGAAAAGGCCTGGGATGTCCTGGCAGATCCAGTTGCAGAGCTTGAGAGAGAGAAAAACCGGGACATTTTAACTTGTGTAAGGTCCAAGGACTCCGGGAAAAAGACAGATAATAATGGAAAAGGAAACAACCTAAAAATGAACGTGGCTAAGGCTGCCCCTCAGATTCAATCTTTGATACAGAAAGGAAAAAAAGCTAACAGTACTGTAGATAGGAAATACTCAACACTGGAACTATTAAAACTAGGAAAAATAAGCAAGCAATCAAAGAGCCCCTTACCATGTGGCCCCTGAGGGTGTGGGACATGGGAGTAAATGACTTCATTCTCCCTAAGTCCTTCAGAAGTTTCACAGCTAACATATAACCACCTGTCCATCCTTGCGATATAGGATGTTCAACCTAGGCCAACGCAAGGGTGAGCAGTCCTTAATGGGATGGCTGGTGGAAGGCATTAAAGATACATGGTCAGCACCAAGGGGAACTCCCATAATTAACTATATGGACTATAAAGGAGGGAAAGGCATTACTGAGAGAACTAGGTATGAGAAAAGCAATATATGATACCCAGTTCACTG